TTTTTTTTTTAATCTAATTTTCTTTATATAGGAAGCAGCCTTTTTACGTCTTTGATCAATCATAACCTTTCCAAATCGCTCCCATGCTTCATTTGAACTGAAATCCTTTTTTGAAAAAGACTCTGACTGATTTTTGATCATAAAACAAAATTTTTTTGTTGGGGGAATGTCGACAACAGGTGATTTTCTAAACATTAGTAATACAATTAATAGTACAATTATTTTATAAAATGTTAAGCTATTTTGCAGTATAGAGAGTCTTTTTAGAAAAATTCTAATGTACCTTTTTATACTGTTTCTGGGACTTAAATGACCTATGTTGCCTATGTCGCCAAGTACTTGAGTAGGTACGTTGTTGATTGAAGAAGATAACTAACTTTTTTGATTAAAAGGGACAGCAGTTATGTTAAACGTCTCAAAGTTGTATATCCGTCAGTCTGCTGAAATGAATCATCATGGAAGTGGTCACTACATATGTTGGCTGTCTTACAAACTTTTGTCACATTAATGGCTTCCATCCATTTTTTTCTCAACTCAACATTATCAGGAAATCTATAATTGAAAATTAAATGTTAAATAATATTTTGCATTTTTGCATGAATTTTAGATTAAGTGATAATACACTCGTCAACAAAATTAACGCATAATCTGTTTTATCCTGCAAAACAAGGCAAATTTCGAGATACAATAACTTCATCAAAAATCATCGTATCGAAATTTTTAAAACAGCATTTTAAAGCTTGAAGGTTTGAAAAGTGGAGATTTCAAGCTTTAAAATGCTTTTTTAAAAATCTCAATACGATGATTTTCGACGAAGTTATTGTATCTCGAAATTTGCCTTGTTTTGCAGGATAAAACAGATTATGCGTTAATTTTGTTGACGAGTGTATTTTGGTAATAACCTAGCTGTGTACTTTGAATAAATAAATTAATAATAACAAACAACTCTAATGTCAAAAAACAATGCAAAGCTATAAAGGTCACACACACACAACCATACAACATAATTAAATTAATTTCATATTTTACGATTTTTATAACTGGCTTTGAATAAAAATTTATTAATTATTTGATAAACTTACTTGTGAAAACTTCGAGATTGCTCAAACGGAATAGGTTGTTTTTTACAAACAATACATGTTCTTGTCATTTTTACTTCTTTCACAATACTTTTCTCTTGGAAATAATCTTTGTTGCTTAAGCTATGTCAGCAAAGAGGTTATATGACTTCTTTGTCAGAGGCAAAACTTCCCCTCTTCGATGCCTTCCCACTCAGCTTTCAAAGTTCGATGCGCGCGCAACATTAGACAAAGATAAAGATGGCCATCCCATATTCTTTCTCTTTCCAATGTCTAACATTTCCCACTTACAGAGGCTCCTATGGCTCCCCTACTCTATGGATATAACCTCTTTGGGTACGACGGGGTACAATGAACTGTTACGCCAAAATTTTCCTTTACCAAGTATTAGAACTTTAAGGAGGAAATTGGAAAATTTTAAATTTAATAGTGGGATAAGTGAGGAAATTTTTTTATTTTCAAAGATTAAAGTTTCTCAATTTAAAAACCAAACAGATAAATATTGTGTGTTAGTGCTGGATGAAATGTCTATTACTCCGGGAAAATTTTACGACCATAGTTCCGGTACTGAGTATGGACATGTCACTATATCAGAGAAAGAACAAAAGAATATTGCAACTCATGCATTGTGTTTTATGTTAGCTGGATTGGCTAGTAGATGGAAGCAGACAGCATATTACTTTATAGGAACGACGCGATCACAGGAGATGTTTTGAAATTAATAGTAACCAAAATTATTTCAAAAGCGGAAAATATTGGCTTATCAGTTCAAGCTGTTATTTCAGATATGGGTAGTAACAATCAGTCAATGTGGAAGGAATTCAGCATAAAAATATCACGAATACAAATTAATTATTATTGCCAACATATTTGCGATGCAAATCGCAAATTATATTTTTGTTCGGATGTTCCGCATGCATTAAAAAATATTGTTTGTGGTTTTCTGCTGAAAAAAGTGTTCAAAATACCGCAATACTTCGTTGACAAGTATAATCTGCCAACTTGTGATGTTAGGGCTTCATACTTGTCTGATGTAATAAAAGAAGACGAAAATTGTGTTATAAAATTAGCTCCAAAAGTTAAGAAAGATTACGTAGAGGGAAATAAGTTTCATTTTCAAAAAATGAAAGTATCTTACGCTATGAGCATTATGAGCAATGAAGTTAGTTCGGCACTGCGATTTTTATATAATGACAATCCAAATGATGGACGTCAAAGTACCGCATAGTTTATTTCAGTTTTACGGTAATGGTTTGATTTAATGTCTAACCGAAAGTTATCATTGGCTTTAAGTAAATTAAAAAATGAAAAGTTCAAAGAAGTTATAGATTTTCTTAACGAAGTAATAATATTATTCAGAGACTTAGCTGTAGGAGATAAAGGTCATTGGAAACCGTTCCAAAGTGCTGTAATTTTATCCACCATGACTGTAATTGATTTATCACAATATCTTATAAATGATTGTGACTTTCTATTTCTTTTAACATCGCGTTTAACTCAAGATTGCCTAGAAAATCTATTTTCTGCTGTCAGAAGAAAAAACATAATTCCAAATGCTGTTCAAAATTTAAGAATAATTTAAAATTAATTACTATTGCTCAATATATGAAAGATATTAAAAACAGTAGTTACCAAGAAGATGACCGAGAGTATCTTTCAGAATTTTTAAATGTCATACAAAACCGTACTTCTAGTACTCACGACACAATCCGACCAGCAATTCGCACAGAGATTTACAATTACTGCAAAACATGCACTGTTACTTTAAACAATACAGATATAAACAAATTGCACTATATAGCTGGTTATTTAATAATGAATATTTTCAAAAATGAAAATGCTTGCAAAGCATGTATATTTGCAACAGGAAATAAAAATGCAAATTTTTATTACTATAGTACATTAACGCATTAGAGCTCGTCAAAATAATATCTTATTTTTTACTAATGCAACAACATTACGTTTTTTCATTCAAATTGAGACAAAGTTTCGAATATTTCAAGAATATATGAACAATCACAAAGAAAGCGTCAACTTAAAGAAATTTTTTATGGAAATCTGCCAAGATATATCATTCACTCTTCCACCTTGTCACAATTTGAAAACTAAAATTATTTCACGATACTATACATTACGTATGAGATTATCATCTAAAAAAATGCCTGTGACAAAAAATATAACTTATTCTAGTAAGAGCATGGCAATGCATCATTGTGTTTGTGATTTAAACATTTTAAGGCATGATAAATATTTATTTTTAATAGTTTTTATAAAATTTATAATAATTTTTGCTTGTAAGTTTATATAAATTTATAATAAATTTGTTTAATATATACTCTCTTTGTGTTTCCCTTTTTTATTTTTTTTTTTAATCATAATTTTAGTCACTAAGAGTAAGAAACTAAATTATGTATTGTGTTTCAGATGGTACAATCATCACTTAGGAGTGATTTCATCAATATCGATTAGTTTAATAATTTTCAAATAATTTTCTTATTCAATATATTGAATAAAGTAATATTTCTTATTTTATTTAATATATTGAAAAAACTTATTATTATTGATGAAGATTTAAATTTGGACCACATTAATCATTGTAATTTTATATCACTGTGACTCTCTACATTAGCGTACTTTACAATATACATTTTTCGATTACGTCAATTTGTTACTAAAGATGACCAAAACATCTAATTTGTTAATAAAGTTCATTTTTTACATATGTATAACCTGTGTCGGCTTCTATATTGGCATGATTGGCTGCGTTCAGCAGAGAAAGCAGCTTTGCAACTGTTGTAAAATTCTGAAATATGATTGGTTTATACATTTAGATCCAGTGAGGAACTAAGTGCAAAACCAATCATATTTTTGCCAATAATCTGCACAAACTCAAGACCGTGTGTTTTATTAAGTCTTCTTAACTCACATTAAATATGAGGTTAGAAATTTGTGTTATTATGCGATAAGTTTTCATCAAAATAAACAAGTAGTAAAATCATTATTTGAATATAAAATATTCATATCACTTCAGATTTAGTATCACTATGTGTAAATGGAAAACAACTTTTATATTCGAATTTAATATGTTTTGCACGTTTTTGTCTATTTTAACCACAATTCTATATATATTTACGAAAAATAAACTTTCTAATAATTATTCTTTACAACTTTAATATAACAAAGTTATAACAAACAAGTAGTGTTATGTGATGTATCAAAATTGGCGTTGATATATTGGCGCGCATTTCCAAGATCACGTGATTTCCGGTTTCACAACATCATGCCGGGCTTTGGCCGATCTCTCCTTTTAGTATCTGTAGGCGAGACTGGCGACAACGTACACTAACCTAGTCACCAAAGGATACCATTCCTGCCGGTGCGTGTACATGGTGGACTTGATTATATACGTATTAGTTCTGTTTTGGTTTTGTGAGTTTTTACTAGTGCAGTGGAAAATGACAAAAAAAAAGTGAGTGCATATCCGAAAAAACGCGAAACTTTGAAAACTGTTTGCATTGTTTGGTCTTCGCACTTTTATGTCACATTCAGTATTATGAGAAATATTACTAATAATCGATGGAAAAACAATAACAAATGTCACCGGATTAATTTTGTACACAATATATGCACGATTTTAACTCTCCACCCTGCAATCTCTCTTCCTCCTCAACTCTAAGCCAATAGCCATTCGGTACGCTTAGATTGCAGTGCCATCTATAGGTATCTATAGATACAACAATCGAGGATCGGTTTTGGCCGCGTGTCCTGAACACGCAGTTCGGCCTCCTTATCTCTATTCTTCATGCCGTGACCCATGAATCTTCGGCAAAGTATACGCACTTATCAGACATGGTCTTGAAAACTTTGAGAGACAAATTAAAGACTGTCGAATTATTTATAATCGATGAAGTATCCATAATTTCGAATGTGACACTTATGTTTATCAATCTACAATTATGTGAAATCTTTGATACGACAGATACAGATGATGATTCCTTTGGCAGAAAACACATTTTCTGTTTGGAGACTTGTTGCAGCTTCCCCCTGTTATTAGTTATATATCAAAAAATTGTTTACACCAGATGTAGTTTGCACCAGATGTAGTACGCTTTAGTTTACTGAAAAATATGGTATATATGTATGTTGTCGAAACATGACTTTTTTCTAAAGTGAAATGGAATTTGTCAAAAAAATATATTGATTATATCGATATATTACTATGAATAATAAAATTTATTATCGTATTCGAAGAACTTTATGATATTTCAAAGAGTATCATTGTTACGTCCAGTGGACTCCACGATTTCTTCGTTTTACAATCGTTCGATCAATAAAATAAGATAAGAACAAATTCAATCGATAACATAAATTCGAAGAAACTTTCCCAGCAGAAAAATATGTTTATTTAGAATTTAGCAACCCGCGATAACTAAGCATTTAATCTCCTCTCGAGCACCGTGGAGAAATAAATCTAATAATCATTTTCAACCCGCGCCGTTAGCACCAAGGTGCTAAGCCGGATCAAGAATCGATTCTTGCCGATAAGAGTCATATCATGAACGCGATTCTCGAGAGAAGGTAAGATGTTGAATCATCCCACGCCGATATCACGCACGTCTAATGATAATAGTCTTGCGCATAGGCTTAAGAAAGGATCATAAATCTAATAATGACACTTTCCGATGGTAGGAAAATCAACAAAATAATAACTCACGTTTCTTGCTTCCCAAGGAACAAGATTAACTAAATCCAGGAATGTTGATAAAAAGTAGATTACTTTTTCCCTTAAACAAACGCTGATAAAAGGGAAATAGGTAATTTGCAACCCATCCCTCCCCAGAAATGAAACTCTCCAATAGGTGATCGTGAGTCTGAAACCTTTAGGGAGGTGATACCTTATAACCAATAAGAATAAGAATGAATCAAAACCAACACAGCAGACGGAGCTAACTTGAGGGAAATTTCCCAATGACCAGTCAAAACTGTTATCATATCAAAATCCTGCGAACCTGATTCCCCAATTTCCCAATTAGACACATGCTACCACGGAACCACCTCCTAAAAAAACGACTATATGAACCACGACACCGCGAGACACGGACGGACAGAAGACAAAAAAAGAATTTTTCAAATATTCTTTCAAGGCTCAACAGATTAAATCAAAATAACACTCTCACAAGCCTTTATGAGCCAACACTAGAATTTAATGTGAAAATAAAAATTACATAGATGTACAATTTAGTACAGTAACACCGTAGACGTTTCGACCTTTGGTTGA